TTGTTGGGTTAGATGTTTTTTTATTTTGATTAGATGTTGTAGATGTTTTGATTAGATGTGTTTTAGATGTTTAGTTGAATTTGGATTGTTCGTTTCGTGACGACGTGTCTCGTGCACTCGTCTTACAGTGATTGACGGTTTTCAGGTGTGTAGATGTATATACATATAGGCATTAGGTTGGTTCTGATTGGTGGTTGTGTTATGGAGGTGGAAAACGTGGTGTGTTCTACAATACTATTGGTCGACGAAAACTGTGTCCTTTTGGTAACGAATGTTTTATGGTCCCGAGTGTTTTTGGGACCTACTGTCCGAGTGTCGCGCTGGTGAGTCCACGGGGGGTGTATTGCGGTCATCCGAACGTCCGCACCTCGGTCTGGCGGCCAAATGTGACTTGGTTGCGTCCTAATCAGGTCGCAACAATAATTATCTAAGGAATGGCCGACAAGTTGAGAGAAACTAACCGCGAGACACAGATAACATTTGACATTTATTAGATCACTATTTTTATCTATTTACTTGTAAATCCTCCAACACTCTCGATATTCTCTCGTAATCGATCCGATATTTACGTTATCTAAATCAACAATATTAATTATACACCTGATACCATAAACGATAACAACTCTAATCTCTCTCTACCCCTAATACCCTTGAGTTTTTGGTAAGAACATAAACTTACAAAACACGAACAACAGAAAAAGAGAGAGAAATTGAAAAAGAAGGAAAGATATTGAAAAAAGAAAAATACAATTCAGCGGTGTGTCTAAGTAAAAAGGAAACATTCTAAGACAGTGCAAATATCGCGGTGGAGAAAATTACTTGCAGGGAGAAACTTCAAATTCCTACCACTCTCCCTTCGGAAAATTCGATTCGAAGAACTGGAGAAAGTCCTCGTACGAGGAGCAAACGAGCGAAAGAACACAGGAATACGGGAAAGATAGAGGGAATACTCGAAAGAAGAAACGTCTGTGCGAGAGGCGGGAGGTGAAAAGCGTAACGACTGTATTCAAGAGAAGTGCTCGGAAACGCGACGGCTTAGCGGCAGCTTCTATTGATATCTGAACGTCGATATTCGAAATGTGCGCCAGACGATTCGACTTCTTCGTCGTCGTCGTCGTCGTTGTCGTCGGCACTGTAATCGCGATAACAGTAAATGTATACTCGTGTACAGTTACAACAGAGTTGCAAAATATTGTACTCGGTTGTGCAACGCGTACACCGGCGTTACGATCCAAGCCAACGAGAATTGATGCTACTTTTACCGGCTCCTGGTAATACGGAGGTTTGCCCCGATATTCAACGCGGAAACGATCCATTCGGGAACAGTTTCTTTTTATTCTCGTTACTAGATTCCTTCGTTACTCTTCGTTCAGGCTCGAAACAAACGGTAATTATCGTGCCGGTCGGGTTTCTCAGCTGGATATTCTCCTGCAAATACTCCACCCCTCCTCCTGTTAAATATCGCGTGGTTCTTTGAAATGTCAAACGGTTTTGAAATATTTGTCGAATATTTCCCAATAAAGTTACACGTTTCGGTGTAATTTCGCGCCAAACTTTTCGACATCGATTCGTGGAAAAAGCACAGGTAACGGGTTCGCCGAATTCTTTGCAAAATCGATTACCTCCGACCGTAACGATAAAGTTCCTCTGCCGGTAGTCGCGGCGTGTTTTAGAAATTACGTCGTATAGTGCAACTATCGCCATCCGGCAATATCGATAAAACGGAGCGATTGTAAATTTACTGGGTATACGGCGATATAATTTTTCATTGACCCAATGGCTTGATAATTCAGCACGGTACACGTATCAGACCGGGTACGAATTACGATGCTTTTTTTTGCTCGTTACAATTTCGACCAATTCTTCTCTAATAAAACGTTAGGATCGCTGATCGTTCAAACGAAATTAAAGATATCGAGATCGATTTCATTTTTCACAGATAAAGAAAAGCCTGTAAGATTAATTTTCTCTTTTTCGTTTCTACAATTGTTCGAGCGTTCAGAAGACAATCAACAAGCTACGTCTCGAGGAACCGATTACCAGTGTGCCGCAGATTCGAATACTGTACAGTAATTGCTCACACTAAAGAGTTTAACCTTCAGCGTGAACGAAGATTGCTTCAATTTCAATTTCACGTTTTAATTGTGCCGATTTCAAATTGGCATTGAGCGGGATGAAAAGATTCGCGTGTATTTACATACGTGTATCCAGCCCAAGTTCAAGGCTGGTACAAGCTGAAACGTAACGTAACGTCTCATGGTGAATACGTCTACTCTCTGTTACATAATGGCGATAAAAGTGTTTGACGGCGATGTCCCACGGTTCTACGATACTTAAGACACTGTCAACGATAAACACACACTCGGGAATTGCAAATATTGAATCTCATTTGTACGTTTCACGGAAATAATAAATCTCGGTGAAAAGTAGCATGCGAAAAATATGTTTCAGTTGACAGATCGAAATCTTGAACCTTGGGACAATGACTTTCCAGAATTGTGATTGCAAGACATTTGTGGAATAATCCTTATTCGATACGCACCATACGCATAATGTGTATTAGGAAGCGTTATACTGAAGGAGATACGTTTAGAAATATTGTTTAAATACTTTTCGAAAGCTTGAGTATCATCAGAGGGAAAGGAACCTTTATATACGTAGTTTTGGAAAGACCAAGACCTTCGAGTTTGCAAAGACAGAATAATAATAAACAAAAACTCACAACATAAACACCCTTCCCGAAATACGTTAAAACAACATCCAAACCCCGAGGAATATCAATGGAAAATAATTCGAGAGCGGTGTCACCGACGAATGCAGCTCCACGAATAATAACATAATAAATCGATTACATTCGGATCAATGATAAAAATACAGAAACTTACGCAGTAGTAAGAGTTTTACAACAGAAGAAAATCGAATACATTAAGCACGAAAGGGGTGCATTCTAAAATATATCTCCATTTCATCTGGCTTATTCAAAAAGATACAATTAGCATTGTCTAATTATTCCTTCCAAGTTCGAAAGTCTTAAAAACGTGAACGGTGTTATAGTTGCGCTCCGCGGTGTGCATCGTTTCAGTTTAATTGGAATTTTCGAGGGTCGCGTGTCGAGATCGACACGACCCGCGGCGAGTGATCGCCGAATAATGCAATTGAAATCTAGCGGACGGCTCTGTTTAATCGGCTCATGTAAATAAATCGGCCAGGATTGTGACTGGCTACGTGCTGGAATTCTAGAATTACGCGCGACTGTATAATTTTGGTCACGCGTCCGCGATCCAGGCCAATCGGATGCATTTGGTGTCGCCCTTATCGGTGTTTCCTTCGGCGGCCGATTAAAATGGACAGGAATAAAACTGCATCCGACCGTACGATGACTCGCCGCGCCACGTGTCATGAATACGATCGCTTCCTATTCCATTGAAATTATCACTGGCTTGCCTATTATACGCCCCCCTCTAACCTATCCTTCCCGACCAATTGAAAAAATCCTTCGACATTCGTTTCATCACAGACAAATCGTGACGAATCGAAAACTGAGTCAGCGATAACTTGGTAAAAAAAAGGAAAATTTCAAGTAACGGAACAAGTGATCTAGCTGCGAACATCCTGTAACAATTCTCACGGTAAAAGCCACCGATAAATCTTCACGATACTTTAAATGAAATTGACCTCTACGCAACGTAAAACGACTGCCTGCCGCTTCTATCATCACCTTATCAAAATACACACACCGGAGACAATTGATTACCGACACGATATGTTGCATGATCGCGTTCAACGAGCTTCCGCAGATGAATACGGAACGTAGCAGCACACGACGTACTCTGGGATCTTCTCTCGTAGGCAAAAAAAAAAAAAAAAAAAATTATCATACCCAGATAAATGAACAGTTCTACACGGTCATTTGTCGTTACGAAACTTCCGGTAGTAGAATGGCACGCGTGACAACGCTGATCGAGACAGTGACTTGGCACACAACGTAATTCCTTCGCGATTAACCCCGGTCAATTTCGTAACAGCCTCAATTGACTTCCTTCGAACGGCCCCAGAACCAAAACGTGTTACATAAAGCAACCTAAGAGTTGCTCTGTACGAGAGACTATTTAGATTTTCGTGACACGGTTGCTCTGCGGCAATGTTGATCATCATCAACGGGCGGCAGGTCCATGATTAACGCTTGGTAAAACGACGCAACCGTTCTTTGACGTGAACAACGTAATTAGCCGCATGGTAACTCGAATTAGCAGCCACCAGGGATGAGTAGAGCCGTTGGCGCGTCGATCTCGAGTATAATTCGCCGATCGATAGGCGTTCAATGAACGGGAACGATGAATGAAACATCGACACGGGGACAACGTACATTTTGTCATTTGATCTCCGAGGATAGAACGAAACAATCGGAATGGCAAGCAGCGTGTCTTGCAATCGATGCCCGTTGAAATGCGTTCCAGTGTTATTTCACAATGCTCGTTTCACAAGCAGACACGTGTCTCGGATTTGTTTTTATGCAGCTCATCGTCCAACCTTTATCCTCGATCTATGAATATTTGTACAAACTCGTCGGTTATTTACCACTCTTATCACTTTTACCAGATGCCCGTGTGTAATCGAAATCTACGTAGGTCACTCAAAGCCATTCTATCTATGCCATCGTAGTACCGTGATTTATTCTTTCGACGCAATAACAATCAGGTAGATACAACAAGGAAAAGGAACCTGTTCTTTCTTTCTCCGTTTATCGGGCACTTGGCTCGACAGATAACAGTCGGACAATCTCATTTCCTCTTTTAAGGAATGAAATTACACGTGGCGACGGTGGTCCGACTACGTCACAAGATTAGCAAGAAATACGCGGGGAATGTGGGAGCGTGTAAAAACGCGGCTTGAACGAGGAAATCAACGAAGATTGTGTATTCTGGTTGATTGTTATCCGGCAGATGACGTCCGCGATCTAGGGGCCCTTGATAGAAGTATAAATAATGTGTGGCCGTCTGGTGTGGAGTATAAAACGTGACACGTCGATACCGTCTGCTTCACTCCGTACCAGACATCCACGGAGGCACAAGTGTAGTGATCATTAGTTGCATACTCCTTGAACCACTTTTCGAATCGTTCGCAGGTCAGTGGCCATCACGGAACAACCGGTTTTCTCTGTGTGTTTTTGTCGTATATCCACGTGTGATCCGTCAGTGTACAAGAAATTTCGGCGAAAATTACCTGTTCTCTCTCTCTCTCTCTCTCCCTCTCTGTCTCTGTCTCTGTCTGCCTTTCTCTGTTATTGGTTGTGATCCTCGAGAAACTACTATTAAATACTACATCTACATATACGTGGCTAATAAGTTACGTTTTGCGTGACGCAGTACCTCGCGTATTACTTCAACGTAAATAACATGTTTCTTTCCTTTGAAAAAGATAAGGGAGATAGTATGGTTATTCGTTAGTTCAAGATGAACGTGCAGTGAAAGTTGCTCGTCGTGCGTCTTCGACTACATCGACTGGTCGTGCGAAAGGAAGCCTCGCGATCTCCGAAGGTGCTAAGACGAAGATAATTCGGTTTTTCGTTCTAATTGCTTTTCCGCCATATTGCAATCGCGGCAGGCATAAAACGGCCATGCATCAATATGCCTGTCGCGGCCATAACCGAAGTGAAACAAACAGAATCATTAATCTACGCTGGTTTAATTTGTTCGGTCGTTACTCTACATCAGTTGGCTATTGTTAGCCGTTAAAAACACAGTTCAAGTAATATTCCTCGCGTGCGTAATTGAACGAAACCGAAAAGAAAGAGAAAAAGGGGGAAAAATAATAACGCGACGAAGCGGATTTCTAAAAGAGGAGTATCATAATCGTCTGCCCTCGATTCCCACTCTCCACGGTCATAATCTACTACACGGTTCGTTCAAAGTGCCCACGCGTGATCTAAAAAGCGTTCAATAACCTCGATAATGGCACAGTTATTTACAATCCTTCGCGGTTCATCAATTTGAAGGCGATTGCTCCGATCTTACCTCATCCGTACTTCCTCCAAACGATTCTCTGTTATTTATCCAATCGATAGAAGATTAGCGAACGATCTATAAACACGCGAGAAATTTCAATCTTCAAGAAACTCGACGAATTCTGTGACACACGAGTTCACGTACACGGTGGGGAAAAAGAGCGCCTCTCTTTGTCCGCGTCCCAGTGGGACCTTAAAATACCGCGACTCGATCGCGTTCGACGGAATCTCCGGTTGGTGAAATGTGCTGCTTTGGGTGGAAACCGCCGCGAGGGGAGGTGGCGAAGGGTGTGGAGTGAAAAGAGGACTCCTCGTTCCATTACGTTTCTAATTGAAACAGCGATCTCGAACGCGAGAAGCGTTCCCCGTGAATATCGAGAGTCGAACAAGAGAAACCTATATAGCCGTGCAGGAAGAGGAAGAAAGATCGAGATATAGGTGGGAAGATATATATATATATAGAGAGAGAGAGAGAGAGAGAAAGGGTAGGAAGTTGAAAGCGTGGAAAAGAGAAGAAAAGAGAGGAAAGCGTGATAAATCTCGTCGTGAACAATAAGTTACCGTAAAGAATCGTTTCCGCGTTCCCTGACGCTCCGCGAAGTACAATGATTTGTCGAGGAAATTCTCCAATTCCAATTCCAATTTCAGAAATGGCCCAAGAGACACCGTCGTGGGTGAACATCGACTTCACGCAGAGGATCCTTCGGTTGGCCGAGGATGACAGCACGATCCAAGTGGTCGATATATTCATAAAACCGGCCACCAATAAGGGTGACAACTATACTAGCGACATGATGAGGGTAGCGATTGAGTATACCAGGAAACAGGGTGATAAAGAGGTCAGCGACAAGAAGACACTCATCTTTAAGTTCGAGCCGATCGCAGAGGGGCCACGAAAAGAACTGGTGAAATTTCTTTTCTTTCTCGCGATTCTTCGTGGAGTACACGTGTGTCTTTAGTTCGTTGGAAATTATTTGGAAAAAATTTCTCGATACGTTTTCCAAGATCCAAATGAGCAACATCTTCGAGACGGAGATCTGCATGATGACAGACGCCCTTAAGAAGATGAGCGGTATGCTGGGCATTCGTTTAGGCGCGCGAGTTTATCACGTTCGTATGGAACGACCACTGTGCCTGATCATGGAGGACCTTGCTCCTCGAGGTTTTCGTATGGCTGACCGTCAAATGGGTCTCGATCTAGCACACAGCACTCTGGCCATTCAGGGATTAGCCAGGTTTCACGGCAGCTCGGTTGCTTTATGCGAGAAGGTAGAGATAGAGAGGAAAAATGACAAAATTGTACCTCTTTCCTCTCGACGGTAAATAACGTTGATTTTCTCACAGGAACCAAAACACAAGGACGTATACAGAAAAGGAATATTCCACGCGCAGAACCCCAAGGATATGACGAAGTTCTTCCAAGCGGCGTGCACGAGTCTGGCGCTCGAGATAGAAAAGTGGCCAGAGTTCGGCGAAAGGTGAAACTGATTCGTAACATAATCCAAGTTGAAATGTCGGAATTTCACGGAACCTTGAAATTCACAGTTACGGTCAGAAACTGAAGATTCTGGCGGAGAATGTGTTCGAGAAGGGCGTGGAAGCTGTGAAACGCAACGACAACGAGTTCAACGTCATCAATCATGGCGACTTTTGGGTAAACAACATGCTGTTCCGTTACGACGAGAACAACAAGCCTGTCGAGCATATTTTCGTGAGTATCGCCACGTTCGAAATAATAATACAGATTCTCGCGATACTTTCTACACGACCAAAGGGAACAAAAATTTCGATTAATTCGGAAAAATCAACGGTTCCTCCTGCGAACGTTCGATTTATCGCGAGAGGAGCGAAATACGGGGCGGCGCATTATGAATAATGCAATAAATCTGCTTGTCTGTTCAAGCTTTCGACTGCGACAATTTCCTAAACACGAATCCTCTCGCGTTTCTTTCGCTCTCTCTCCCTCTCTCTCCCCCATAGTCTGGCTGCACAGATTTCATTTCCAATTCAATTCGCGCCGCCTAGCTTTCGAGATCGATCGAAACCCGATTGACATTGCAGGTGGATTTCCAACTGGCTCTCTACACTTCGCCGGCGATCGACCTGCACTACTTCCTGAATACCAGCCCGAGCGAGAAAGTTCGCGACGACTGCATCGACTCTCTGTTGGACGAGTATTTAAAGACACTGACGGCCACCATGAAACAACTGGGCTGCAAAACGCAACCACCTACCAAGGACGCATTGCTGAAAAGTATGGAGGAACGAGCAATATACGGCCTGATATCTATGATGACCGTTCTTCCAGTAATTGTAGTGGATAAGAGCGAGGTGAAGGACATTGACGAGATGTTAGGCGGCAATGGTATCGTAGAAAGTCCGGGCATGAAGAGTCCCATTTTCCGAAGAATAATGCAGAAGAAATTACCTAAATATGCGCAAATGGGCTTGCTAGACTGACGAATCATAGGAAGAATCGTTATCAGAAGGAACTAATTCGAGAACAGATACGGAATAAAGGTTGGCCAACTGGGTGCCGTATTTAGGTCTACGTTGTAGATTGTCTACGTCTACGATGTCGCGGTTGGCCATGAAACAAAGTCACTTCGACTTAACAACGAGCTTATCGTTTCAACTGTTTGTCATTGTCTAGTCGAATTCGAAGGTTTCCTTTTTTTTCTAGTAAGATATCTAGTAAAATATAGTTCAAGTTCGAATCCAAACATCCATTTGTCCTTCCAATCCAAAGATCCTTCCAACGACGAACCGTCTAGATAATATTCCTGTACAATTAAGTCGACCCCATTTGATAGTACAAATTGAACACGGTTTAATAAGGTTACTCGTGATCGACAATCTACGTTGATCAACACACACGGCATTAACGAGGTATTAAGGTAGATGTAAATCGTTCTATCGTAAACACAACAGACTCGCGCACAACTCACGAGCTGTAGTGACTATGCACGATCGTTGTTTCATGTTGAATACAACCGAGAAAAAAAAAAAAAAAAAAAGAAAAAAAAACGAACATTTAAAAAAAAACCGAGAAAAAAAAAAAAAAAAAAAAAAGAATAAAAAACGAAATAAACGAATAATATGCCAGAGAAAGAAAAAAGAAAAGTTACATTTAGGCTGGTCTAATTTAAGAGACAAGTCTTCAATAAACTCCCCGTTTCTTTTTCCCCCTCTAAACATTACTCACGCTGTCATTGAGCAGTCATCGCGCTACGCGAGCGTAAATCTTCCCGGTTCTCCACCGCAGGGGAAGATTTAAGAGCGAATTGCACTTTTGCGACATGCAAACGAAACGCGCCACGGTGTTTTGAATAAATGTCCGTGTCACGTTTCCTCGCGCATACCGTGTGACCGTTTCGCTGCAAACAAAGCGAGGGAGAGAGAGAGAGAGAGAGGAGCTGGCACGATGAAATTGCTGTTGAACATGCGTTGCACACCGCGCATACCTATTTTATGGATTAATTGCACCTCTACAGTAGCGCCGCGGGACCGCCATGCGAATCAGTGGTCCGAGAGAAGCCAGGAAAACTTGGATGAAAAAAGCTGTACGTCGTTGTTCTCGTTTCATTGTGAAATTCACAGAGAAACTTGGTCCACGATACTCCAAGTGTTACAAGGTGTCTTTGTAATTTAGGAAGTGAGCACGAATCAAGCGGTTGACTATTCTCACAAACATCGTAATCACGATGAGAATCGTGGATAATAAATGCCCGACGAGAGAATATTAAAAATTCCTCTCGATTGAAAAGCTCGAATTGCGCAATTAAACAGAAGAGCTTAACGACAATGGAATATGAATAATAATAATTATCCGGCCGATGATCAGACTCGTGGAAAAACTCCAATCAATTACACAGAAAAATGATTTCTTCTAAATGATAGGTGTGTATTGTTCGAAATTAACCAAGAATTAAATTCGACGCCAGCGTGGCGCGAGTGTACCAGACGAATTCTTCGTATCGGAACACAGACACGTATTTGTATATTGATTTCGTACCTGAGACACAGGATACGCTTGACGAACGGAGGCTGTGGTAACGAGCTCGATTCAAAGGAACATTCGTACGAATCACAGTCGATTGTGCCCCGGGTAAATCGGTCATTTCAACCATCCACCACGAATGACTCGATGATTTCAGTTATCGAACCAAAACACGCCCTTTTTCAGATTGCGTAATACTGATTACGGAAACTACATAGCACCGACACGGCGACACGAGTAGGTTATTAATAACGACTCGGTTCTCATAGATAAATCTTTCGTATCGAACTTTCATACCTTTCGTTTCGTGAGATTATCGAAACACTCGTCGGATCCTTCGATGATTTATCTATTCCGGTCATTGACATCTCCACGTCGATCGTGTCTGGCTGAGAGATATTACAGCGGATCGTGCGAAGGCGCACGAATTCCGTGAACATCGGGACAGGCATCACGGAGAACGCGATTAATTCTGAAATTAATATCTTCAAAGCACCCGGGACACGCGTTTCGCCTTTCTATTAAAACCGACTTGTGTTTGCGCATATTTATGCGCGCATGCGTGTACGTGACGCGAAACAAACGATCAAATTAATCATCCAGCCGATTTCTATCTCCAATATCTCTGTACGTTCAAATGAGCTCGTGTGCTTGATCGATTTTACATACACCTGGAATACTGCTGTTGTTGTTGTTGTTGTTGTTGTTGTTTTCTCCCCTTTTTCACATGGAAGATGCCTTTGATTTGTGGCCAGTGAGAGAGAAAAAAAGAGCTCGTTGAATGTGCGTTATTATCGGAGGCTGTTGATTTAGTAATTCTGTAGTGTAGAAGTGTAGAACATCGGTGAACGAGATATATGGAGCGTGGTTCATCGGGCATTACTTCTTGCAAATATTCTCTGTCAATCGCTTAGATGAAGTATTGCGACTGATACCAGACTAACTAATTACGATATAAGATGTTGTGTTTGCGCATTCAATATAATGAGACAGCATATCGCTTGTTCAACACCTATTTCTGTATTTAACGAGTTGCGAAACGTTCGAGAGATTAGATCTGGAATGACCTAGCGCCTTTTTCAGAATTATTCGTACCGTTATTGCCATGCGATGACGATTTGAAAAATGACAGTGATGCTATTCTTAAAACATTTCAAGCTCCGTTGCTTCTCTTATCTTGGAAAAATTGCGCGTCAAATAAACATCGTGTTAAGGATACTCAAGTTTAAACCAGGTTTACCATACGGACGCGACTCTGCTATTTTTCAGATTAAGGTTTGAATAATACGCGTTTAATGTTTTCGTTCGTTAATTATTCCTTATTATCAGGAGGGCTCCAAACCTCTCATAAAAGCGGAGAATTTGGAGTTTCTTCGTGCATCTCAATAGCAATTGACGTATCATAAGCGGTACCGTTACCCTGGGTTTTTCCCAGAAGCTCAGGTGACGCGTACCTCATCCGGAACACCCCTTCCCTAAGGGTGAGCGGTTGGCGTCGGGCGTTGACCAAGGCCCTAATTTGATTGGAAGTTTTGGCCCCCCCCCCCTTTTTCACCCCCGTCAGGGGACCAAAATGGACGGACAAAAACCGTATAAAGGGACGGGGGTGATAGACAAAAGTGACATTCTTGTAAGAACACATTAGTGAAACATAGAATCTGAACTCTGGGTACGAACGATTACACGAATTTGAACTTCGGGACATTGGACTCGCACACATTTAACATTTAAGAACTCAGTTACATTGCATTACTGTTACATAACAAACTGTGTTGCAAATAAAGAGTTATTTGCTATATAATCAGGCTTCATGAACATTGTGGGAGGCCAACACATCGAATTGGAAGAAATAATTATGCGAAAAGTTTCCGTTCTTTTATCTCGAGCTAAGGGTAGAATCGAAGAAAGGGAGAGACGAGAAGTTCCACTTAATTTTCGCGAGAGCTGAATCACTCCCGCAGGGACAAATATCGTCGGCAATAATCGATAGGAAGCCTTGAGAGGAGTTGCCGCTTCCGCAAGTAGCGATGATAGCGACGAGACGGCAGACATATCGTCCAATACAGTAAGTAATAGGCAATTTCGATAACAAATAAGTTGTTGCGGCAATATCATTAGTCAAAGTCCTTCCGCCTTGCTATGCACCGATAAAATGACACCCAACGGCATCGCTGCAACGATCAGTCACGCCTCTCATCGCTCGTAAAACGCGAAACCTTCGCGGCACCAATTTTATTAGCCCACTTTAACGTGAATTAATTCCCAACACAAATCACCGGTTAGATGAATCGGTAACTAGGAGATTTATAATACGCACGAGATAATACACCATTACCCACGGTACACCGGTCTTTTTTCTTCTCCTTCTCTCTGCCCTCGTCATTTTTCAACCTCAACAGAGAGAAACGAGATCCCCCGCTTCTCTTTCGCGAAGCTCCAAGAAATTCTCAACGCAACGAAAACATTACACCAGAGTGGATTCACAGATTCAAAGCGGAAAACCCGGGGGGAAAAAAAAAGAAAGAAAGAAAAAATTTCCTTCTTACGCTAGATTTCGCTCTTTCGGTGCAGGAGTATAGGAACAGCTAGTGAGCCAGGAAATTAATAGAAGAGAGAGAGAGAGAGAGAGAGAGAAAAGAGAGGTATCGAAGGAAGGTAAGGGACAAAGGAGTAGAAAATTATTGCCATTTCGACGAAATTGAAGCGCACGTCAGTACTCGTGTAACAACTGCCGCGAACTCGTCCTTCCGCAACGTCATATATTTCCTTGCCTTTGTCTCGAGGAACTGATGCGGTATCACGTGTATAAAAGTAATATCTACTATCCCAGTCAAAGGGGTCTCCTCTGCGTTTCAGTTATAACGCCACACACGGTGTCGCATAAGAGAGAAACAGAGAGAGGGAGGGAATATCTAGGCTGCAACCAGGCCTATGTATGTACACACACGTCTGTATATGTTCTCCATCCGTATGTAAGGTTGTCACGGACAGAGGGTTGATAAACGCCTGCTGGTCCCTCCCCACCAGTTTCCACTGGCATCTCGACGACCCCAGTCATCTACCACGGCCACAATCATCCCGGCGTCGCGGTATTCATAAACTACTCAGACAACGTCTAAAACTTTGCGCGTCGCGGAATGGCGATGCTCTGATACGGAATAATGGCGACGGTATAGTGATGAAGATTGTACACGTTCGCTCGTATATACGCACACACGCACACACGTGCGGATGAAGTTTCGTCAAAGGACATTTGCAAACACCGTATACTCTGTTATAAAATATTCATCTCCTGTACACGCACGAAACGTTACCAGACATTTATTTAACAACGAGTCTAATTGTTCACCGTCGTTCACTATCCTGTACAAGTATAAATTCGAATCGTTATCCCATCGAGACGTACATTCTACCAGATAAAACACAGCCAGTCGTTATAGAGACGCACCGTAGTCGAAGAGTAACGATGTTCTCTCTATTCCTGGAGGATGTACCAATTTCACGCGAGCAACATTTTACCCCGGGCAAAACAATAAACGTTATAGTATTCCGGCTAATTACTTTATGCAATATTAATTAATCACGAAAGTAACGGAGCGTCTCGCGAGACAGAGAGAGAGAGAGAGAGAGAGAGAGAGGCCACTAGAGATAACGGCGTCCAATTAAACGTTAGGAGCGCGAGTTTGAACGCAACATACAACCGGTTTCGTTGTTTAATTCGATTGAAAGTTCGCGGGCACGCGTGGCGGGTATGAGAACTTGCTATCTGGCAAAGATAGACTTAACACGTTTAAACTAAATTAGATATGTCGGGATGGGAGGCACGGAGGGCTGGTCGACAACCCAACGAAACTGCGTCGAAACGCGAGGTAGAAGGAATAAGAATCGCGTGGTGGTGTAGGTCGTGACGGTTCGCGGGAATGAAAAAAGGATTAAAACGCAAGAACGAGGGGGGAGATAGATAAAGGGGTGGGAAACGAGGAGAGAGTAGAAATGAAGAGAAGGAGCTGGAAAGGG